AAGAAAATTGAACACTATGTTGTTATTGGGGGGGGGGGGGGGGGGNNGGTCGACTGCCGACGACTGCCAGCGAACAGTGCCCAGCCTCGCCGCCGACTCCTGCAGTAGTGGGCTGACCCTCACCGACGCCGACAGGACCATCCACCTCCTGAGCCTGAGAGTGACAGGACAGGGTTAATTGTAGGGTAGTCAGAACGTGCTGTAAACAAATCAGATCATAGCCCCTCCGCTGCCTGCTGACCCCGGTCGTCCAAATCGTAGAAGTCAGGGTCGTAGACATAGGTCGGCAACTCATGTCTCTGGCGGTAGAGCTCCAGGAACTGAGTCGAACACATCAATCAAAGCTGCGCTCTGAAGAATAAATAGCGTTTTCTACTTGAGTCCAAATGGTTTGCAGCAGGAGCACTCGCTCCGCCATGCGGAAGTAAAACTTCCAGCGCTCGGCTTGAGCGTAGTGGCTGACGCAGGGACCTTCCCGTCGCTGCAACCCATACTGTGTTCGGTTGCTGCTGACGACTAACACGATGCAACCTAGACACTCCCGGTTGAAGTCGGCGGGAATCTGTAGGGGTCGGAGGCAAAGCGCAGCTCACCAGTCGACGTCAGGTAGTTGGCGAGGATCCTGGCCGTGACCTCGACAGGCGGGGATGCTTCACGCCATGTAACATGTGACATTGTTTCCTCATGGACTCCTCACTGCAGCAGCATAGTCACGACTGTAGTCGCAGCCAAGTCACCGTCGACATTGAATGCTGACTGCTGTCATCCTCCATGTAGTCCAGGATGGCTTCGCTGTCTGCTGCCCAATCCCGACTCAGACTGCAGTGGACGGGGTGTAGCGCCGAAACCCCTCCAGCCTGCAGCGTGTCTGCTTCTCAGTCAAGGCAAAGCCCTCTACAAATTCAGTTTGTGTTCGTGTATAATTAATATTGTGGTGAGGGACAGCCAGGAAGACCCAGAGCATCATCCCCATGGTGATCGACCGTTGCGCGCCGGACCTTTGTTGTTCAGTTGTTGGCGTCATCCCGAAAATATGACAATCAGGTCTGATGAGCTGGCCGAACCCATAATGTCAACATCGTGCTGAACACCGACGACCTTCCAAGTAAAACTGCAATCAAGGGACGGGCTGGTCATGATGATGAGCGACCCAGGCTGGTTCAGCATCAGCCGCATGACCCCGTGAAAATCTGGGTGAGCCATGACCTTACTAATTAAAACACTGATAACCATGCACGCAGATGTCGTGCCCATCCCAAAATTCGACATGTTCTGTTCAAGATTAGCTGCCCTGGTGGGCTCGTCCAACCCAGTCGGCATTTGCCACGCGTTCCGGGCTTGACCCTGCCACGTCGCCCTGCAAGGTTTAGGGTTTTTGGCCATTAATTCATATTGAATCTAGGATAAAAATTGAGAGTTTAGGGTGTAGGGTTTAGGGGCCTGTAGTCCAAGTAGCCCCGCCATCAGCCACTCCAAATTGAAGTGTCTGACGCTGATGTCTCGTCTATGCGACAGCCGGCTCCAGATATCGCCAGGATGCCGATGCGTATAGCCAGCGACCTCTACTGAACTTGACTTGGCCCCCCTGGCAAACACTTTAACAAAGGCTGTTTCTATCTAAATAACCACAAATTGACAATATTTCCAAGCACCCTAAGTCACGACCGCCGGCATATACTCGGTGTGGCTGGAGGACATCGTCATGATGGCGACCCTGGCTCCAGCAAAATCCTGGGAGACATGGACCGAACTACTTAATAGTTAACACCATAGTTCATAGTTATATCAATAGACGGAGAAAGCACGAATCTGTTATATCTTTAATTACAATTACAATACTAGAGAATGGAGAAAAGTCACCAAAACTTTATATTATTATTATTAGGATATAACAAACATTGTAGCGATCCCGGGTTCTTAGACTCTAATGTTTCAGAACCATGTCCTCCCAGGACTGCAGCAGGAGCCTGGCCTCGCGCATGTCGCTCAGGGTGGTCCGGACATTGAAGGGCCGCAGTCGACCCTGACTCTGACCCTCATTGGTGACGCCGGTCGCCGCCGCTTCCGACCCCGCTGGTGCTGCTGAAGTCATCCCTGGTCTTCCTGAGATTGACAACAGACAAACGACAAGTGTTAGTCCTAAACCCCTAGTATTGATACAAGCTTGACCATGCTGCTATTATTAAAATTATTATAGCCATTTTTATTGCAACAGGCTTGAAAGGCAAGGCATGGTTTTGTTACACTGGGCGAGATTCTGGGCGAGGGTAGAGATGATCGACTTGATGAACCAGCCGTTGGGTTTTTTTTTGGGATTGCGTTTTGACTCCCGGACGAGGTCGGCGACCGACGCAGGGTCCAACTCGTTCAGGAGGCAAAGAGCCTCGGTTATATTATATTCAAACCCCAAATCCTAAACCCCTAAACCCTAAACCCCTAAACCCTAAACCCTCACCACTAAATTCGGGTGGCATTCTGAAGTCTCTCTAGCTGAGAAGCCTGGACCGCACCCCGACGCAGGCTCTGACTTTCGACCTCCGTCTTGACCTCCTCGGGCAGGTAGTCGTAGGCGATGCTGGACGACCCCCGGTCGTTTGGGCGCACTGTCATGCGGCGACGCCGACACAGGGGACCTACTGTCGACAATGACCCGGCTGTGATGTGAAAAATGTTGCGAAACTTCAAAAGTCAGCGCTGCAGGAGATGACTCACAATAAACAAACATCATGCATGATTATGTCATTGACAGTCTGACATGCCATGTCCATGCTGACAACTGACAATGCTGACACCGTCTCATCTCTCCTTGAGCTGACAAAGACTACTGGCATCCAAGGTCGACAGCGGTGGCTGACAGCTGACACATGTTAACTGTTAAACACTGCAGAGACACTCACACTACACTGCAGCATGGCATGTTCAGTCAGTCAGACATGAGCGAGCAGAGAGGGGGAAGCACCTGTAAAGGAGATCGTCCTCGCCCAGGATAGTGTCTGCTGCTTCACGACCTCAGGATACGACTGTTTGATCAAGTAAGTCAGTGACAATCACAAGAATGCTGACAGGCTGACTGCAGAAGGACAGAACAACAAAGCAGCACTGCATATGTACTGACAGAATGGAGGATGAGTCGCTGACCACGTCCACGCCGACCATCCGACCTCACGTGCAAATCAATACGGAATCTCAGTTTTGCACTCAGTCTGTGCATTCAACAATTAGATGCAAACGGCCTTTTTTCCAATATCTCCAACTCCGACCGCCGACTGCCGCACAGCTACAGCTCGTCCTCGTCGATGTCATAGGGCCCCGACACAGCAGACACAGTTCGACTCTCATAGCCAAAATCCTTGTGAAGAACCCTGATACTCTCATAGGTCTGAGGATCGAGGTCATCGCACACGCCGTTGAATTGGCACAACCTCGACGTCCGAAGTCTGACAAAGAGAAGTGAGTAACCGACCCTCAGCTTCGACACAGGAGTGTCCCACGGCACAAAGTTGGCATTGGGTGGGACGTCTGTCGGGCGGATTTCCGGCACCGCCGGCAGTATGTCATACAGCATGTCAATGCCGTCGGTGTCCTTACATTACAGATTACAGCAGGCTAGCAAAAGACTCGGGACTTTCATTACCTTCTGCTATGCTTGCCAAGCGAACCAAATCTCTGCCAAGCTGCGCCACTGACGCTGTCGGGGCGAGGATCCTCAAATCCAACCTGGCTGCAGCACCAGGCATTAACTTAATCATTGTTCAGTTCCTATATATTATATTCATGAGCGTTGGCCTGATAGGCCGCCAACCGCTCGTCAAGGCCATACCAGTTAGCCATGTCGAAGTAGGAGGCGATGTGTTCGACCATCTTGGTTCAACAAGATTAAACCTCCGACCCCGGGCTCTGACCTCACTGTCGTTGATGTAATAAACCTAACAGCTGCTTTAGCGACGGGGGGCAATGTCGGGGTCCGCAAGCTCCACTTCAATGTTGCTGCCCGCCGGAGTGCGTATGTTCACGACGACCGGACGACGCTGCGACTGTGACTCGGCCGGCTGCGACTCGGCAGGCTGCGACATCAGGAAATTCGACGCTAGGCTGTGACTCGGCCGGCTGCGACTCAGCAGAAACTCGACACTAGCTACAGTAGTTTGAGCTGACGGCTGCATCAATTTTGTTTGCAAGCCGCTCAATCAAGGTGCCATGACGTGTCAAGCTCATCGGGTGGAAGCCCAAAAAACTCAGGCCTGGGCTGCTGGCAAAGTTCCGGAGGTGCTCGGCGATGACCCGGTGGCTGATGGTGGCTGGTTGGCTGACGCTGACGGCTGACGTGAAGAGTGAGTGAATTTCTGGTCGCCCTGCCCCCCCCCCCTCAGTACATTGACCTCGCATTCTTTGGGCTCCCAGCACAAAATCAATTCTCCACCTCTGGCACATTCCCCGCCCGTTAATCCACACTATATCTATATCAATTCAGCTCCAGATCAACTCACAATCAACTCCATCCAAGCCAATAAAAACAAGTGTCAAAAGAAGTTTTCGGACATATGCCATAGACCCCTTAACGCAACAGTCTGCCTAAAGCTACCAAAATTTCCGAAATTCTAGTACCGCGGGAGAGGCACGCAAAAGGCTTTCAAAAGGAAACGTGCCAAAGGACGAGGTTGCAGGGGCCAGGGGCGCGCAAAAAAACGGAGGAGACCAGCACGACACCGTTTTATTAGAGAAATATCCGATATTTTCGAAGAGAGCTGATTCCAAATAATATATCTAGATAATTTGCAAGTACTGATTTCGCGTGACCGACTATCATATGTCAATTCGATAACAGAGGACACCCGCAACTTCTTATGAAATGATTCATCTAATCAGAAAAGAGCTCTGTGAACAAAATATACCTGACTAGTTCCGTCCGAATGATATTTGATCAATAATTGGATCCCAGATCTTTTCTTCGGATTAGCCTTTCGTTTGGGTTTCGGCCTGCGTCCAATACTCTGAGGTACCTGAGGGATGTTATTGGCAGCCTCCGGGCCTGTCAAGGCTGCCTCGAGATCCGCTTCCATGTCCTTCCACTTCGAGTGCCAAGCGCTCCTCACTCTTGGGCTTGCCGACTTTGCATCAAGCTCTGGGAGCACTTGGTCCGTCTCAGCTTGGGGTGCTTCTTGCACGCCCTCGCTCTCTGCAGGTTCAACCTCATTGGGAGAAGCCCAGATGTCAACTAATGGGTAAGGGTCAGATGCTTCAGCTGCATCTTCCATTCGCATCTCATTGGAAGGATCCAGCTCCAGCAAGGCCGGAAGCTCGTCAGGATTCTCGTCGGGATGGTCGGGAGGCCTTGGGGCCGCCCGTCTGCGCCGTCGCCTCTCCTTCGGCCGAGCCCGTGCCTTGCCGACGACCCGGGCAATCCGTGCATTACTGGGTGGCGAAGTTGGTGTCCTGATTGTGGCATTCCAAGCATTCCAACTGCGGGCCTCTCGCAGACAATAGCAACACAGAGCCAAGCTGCAGCTGCAGGCTATGAAGCCCGTAGCAAGTGGCAGGACCAGCTCAGACAACCAGGCCGGAAATGAAGCCACCTCGGACTCGGAAGTGATCACGGGAATACTTGGAGCTTCTGTCCGGACAGCCTCATGAACGGGCGTCTCGAAAGGGTGCCCCACGACGCAAGGCGGGCCCGCCACAGAACAAAAAGGAGCCAGGCGGAGGATAGAGTCTACCGAACAGGCCTCATCTGTGGGCGTGTGCACTGCTTCATGGCAGATATTGCAATAGGATGCACAGCAAGCTTTGCTTGAGCTGTGAAAAAGTCCAAGCTGGCATGCAGGGTCGGGCAGATCGAAGTCTGTGCCAATGCAGGCCAACACACTGTGGTTCGTCGGACCGACGAAATGGCACATGCCAATCCGTATTGAACTTCTCGCTGTTGCATAGGAGCAGTTTTGTCCCTCCTCCAAGTCAGAACAGGCATCGACTATCATCCACTACCACCTTTTGGCCGGAGCCTGGCCGAGCCGAGGCCTTTCTTGCATCCCTCAGCGCGTGTCACATGGGCAAGGCTGCTCCTGGACACAGTACCACATCTACGAAACGCTTATCTTGATGTCCTATGCTCCTACTGATTACCCGAGCTTGTAAGGCTTGTGATAACTTCCAATGCTTGAAACATAAGCTGCGATCCGTGCTTATCGGCTTGCTGTCATCTTGCTCTTGCATGTGACCTGCTTCGTAAAGCTTCGGTTCGGAAATGGCAGCGGAGATAAGTTCATTCGCCCATACTCTTTGCCCCGAAGAGTCTGGGGATCACTGCAAGTCCCGGAGCCCTTTCTTTTTAAATTGCATCTCCCAGGGAGGTTCAGCAGCTCGTGGCCGGAGTTGGATTCACCATCAAGGCTGAGCCGGAGTTTTCATAATGGATGTCTGCGGAAGGGTTTCCACATCCACAGATGCCATCATCGCATCCGATTTCTGCCGCCACTCAGGATCGTTCTTGAAGCCTGAGCATGGAAAGCTAGCATGAAACCCCAAAGTGAAGCTATGCCCAATGACAGCCCAGGTCCACTAAGAATCGAAGCTGACGTGACAAAACAGATCAGGATTCAGCCTAGAGGCCGAAATCAGGGTGCCAGAAATTGGCCAGGAGTACAACCCGGTTGCCAGGATAAGGTTCGTCTCCCTTCGCCTCAGCAAACACGACCTCGTGCTCAAACGAGTCATCGAACACCAGGCAGCGTCCCTCTTCCCAGCCTCGCGGCTCTTCAGCTGCGACGCGGATGTGACAGCCCTGCTGGCAAGAGCGTGGGACTTTGATCGCAAGGTGGCAAGTCAGCCGCGCGTTGCTGGGGCCACAGTGTGGCCGCAGTCGGGTTCCAGGAGTCAGAACACTAAAAATCACGTCGCCTCCGCCACAGAAAGCCAAGCCAGTGGCATCCGCGCAGTGTGTCTGTAGAATTCGAGTTGTTTCGGGGAACTGTTCAGTGTACTCATGCTGCTTCGTGCAGTTGGTAAAGAGCGGTACCTCTTGCCACTTCCCGGATTTCTTGAGGCCGCCGTCATGCAAAGCGCCGGGGCGATTGCCAACGTCGCCGAGGCCCGGCGTCTTGTCCGAGTCGTCCCAGTCCTTGCGGTTCGCCAACTTCTCCATGTAAGCCTCGAACTCTGCCTTGATGATGGAATAGTTCTCCTCTAAGGCACGAGAGAGAGGGAAGTCCTTGCTGTCGTGGAAGGGTTTAGCCGGCAAGGAGGGCGCAAAATGTGGTGGTCTTTGCCACTTTGTATACCAAATCCCATGCTTCACAGCTGTAATTGCGAGGTCGTGCACATCGTTGTACCAATTCGCTGGCTCGTTGCGTTCGAGGCTGCCAATTAAATTGATATATGCTGGACGCTGTTTGGGATCCGTTTTCAGTGACTTGCGATAGTAGCTGACACCGGCTCTGGAGAAAAGGGAGCAGTACTGCTCTACGGGAACCATCTTCGCCTGGGCGGCGTCCAGGGCCGGCAGCTTCACCTGCAATGCGCCGCCGAACTTCACCTTGTCACAGAGCTTGTTCAAAAGCACACCCTGGTTGTAGTAGGCATCCGCGTCTGGAAAACGGAGGATGCAAATGATCGACCACATCCTGGCCTCGTCCTGGAATCAGCCTCTCAGCCCTCCTCGCCCCTCTCTGGTTACACACCTTGCTTTCGAAGATATATTATGGAAATCGAAGCACTAGCGGTGCAACGCTAAGCCTAAGGCCCTAAGCAATGTCCTCACGGCTCTCCATCTCAAGCTTCTTGGTGAGGGTGTAAGTCTTCGCTTTCCAGTCTGCGGGATCTAATCTGCAGGGAAACTTCCCAAGAACCTCGCAGGCCTGATCCAACAATGCCTGCTCATCCATGCCACCATACCTTAGGGGGCAGAGGCGACAGAGAAACCAAGTGATGTGTATTTTTTTTTACCGTGCCCCTGGTGCCGAAGTCTCCCGAAACGGAGGTGTGTCCTTTCGAACTAGATGCTTGTAGTACCCCCACATTTGATCCAAGTCTGGTGCAGGCGTGAAAGGGAGCCGCTTGTCCTGCAGCAGAGCCCGCCAAACGTTGTCATAGTCCTGCCGGGAAACGGCCTCTCTTGGCAGGCCCATGGGCAAGGTAAGGGCTTGTTTCGGGACCAATTTCTCGTCGTCCGAGTCCTCGATGTTGTCGAACTTGGAATAATCGACACCACTCTTTTGGGCCTTCCGTTCACCTCGCTTGTCCCTTTCGCTGGCAACATATCCAGACTGCTTCTTGATGGCGTCGCTAGTGCTTTCTGGCATCGGTTTCGCTTTGGCATCTCCTGCCTTTCTCTCTTTGACTTCTGGCTGTCTGGGCACGTAACTCGGGAATCTCTGAGTCAGCAGCTGGCAGAGGAGCTGCGACACCTCCTTGCTAAGGACCGTTTTCTTCTTGCTCTCCTCGAGTGATACTGGCTCTGCCAGAAGCAGCTGCTGCCATGACTGAGGGCGCGGAGTCAAATCGATCCAGGTGCCCTCCGGAAAAGAGTTCCACCAGTAGCGCTCGGCAACGAAAGCTGTCCCTTTTGGTTTGTCCAAACGCTCGAAGACTGCCCAGCCCTTCACTACTCCTAGTCCAGCATGTTTCGCCAAAGTCTCTGCATTACCAAAGCTGTGCAGAGGAACAAGGTGAAGATCCGACACCGGGGGGAGCTTCGACAGCTGCTCCGGCGTTGGTGGCCCTGCAACAGCAACTCGTTTGGCCGGGATTCGCCCCCGTTTCCCGATCATGGACTTCAGCGCGTCACTGCCCGTGTAGACTTGCGGCCAGTCCCTTGGGAAACCGAGGCCCTTCAAAGCATCTATGTCCAAATCTCCATCAGTCACGAAATCCTCCCTGCAGAGCCAGCAAGCCTCGGAAACTCCAACAATGGCAACACCGCCTGTAGCATCTGGAAGCGCCATGGCTCTCGCTCTACGAAGTGCCGAGGACAAGATGCATCTCAAAATTGTTCACGCACGCAGAGCAAAACGGCTTGCACGAGCACTTCCGGTCGTGAGCACTTTGAAGCAAAAAGCAGGCGCTCTCTCCCTGCGTTGATCTTGCTCATCTCCTTGCTTAAACCATCGCATGTTCAAGGACACCTCTCGCGACGGTTCGTGTCTGTCGGTCTGCTCTTGCCAGGACCCTCCTCCCTCCTCCTCTCCATCTTTTACTCATCCTGTCCTCTTCTCCAGTGGGCACAGGGAGGACGTGAGCCCCGGCCCGGCGCTCACTCCCACCCACAAATCTGCACATACTCCACCACCACCGCCTCTCTCTTTCGTTAAGGCTTTGGGCCGGGCATTGCTGCTACCTCTCTTTCGGAAGTGGGCAAAGGGGAAATCCCCCCTGCGACCTCCTTCTCTCCTTCTCTCTCCTTCTCCCCAAGACTTCCTCTGAGGCTCAGAGATCAGAGGGGCCGCCTGACCGGGCAGAGCCGGCGAGCAGCCTCGGACAAACTACAGAAACCTTCCGGCCTCTCTCCCGGACTCCCCAAAGGACCCACTCCTCCCACCGCCTCTCTCTCTCTCTCTCTCTCTCTCTCTCTCTCTCTCTCTGCAAGCTCCGGGGAGGCACTGGCAGCAACGGCTTTTTCCCTCGCACCCCGAAAGACCGGTCCATGAAGTGTCGACGCCATCTTATAGGCTTCACATGACCGGTCTCACTGGTATCTTGGATGGAGGGGCGCGCAGTAAAGAGTTCACAGGCAATCACAACCTCCATCGCAGCCGTTTAAGTCCTCCACCGAGACCACGTGAGCAAATGCAGCACCGAGGGTAGCGCTGGTATTGCCTTTCTTGGTGCCAACTTCAAACGCGTGGCATGCAGAGCTGCTAGGTAACTACTCTGTGCGGTGGTGCAACGTTGCTTATATCATCGAGAATTCATTTGATGGTTCAACGTCGATCTTTTGCGGCCCCCTAGGACAGGCACGGATCCGGGAGGTGCCCACGACGCAGAATGGAAACTCGCAGGCGCTGCGACCACAAGGGCCGACTCTATCAGCTCCAGTGTGGGACACATCTTGAGCCTACGGCAGCTAAAGGAACCTTCGTGGCAAGCGCAGGGAAGCTCGGACATTTCCCAATGGAGACTCTACCAGCAGGTACGCA